GGAACAAGGCCACGCTGGAAAGGGAGCAACAGGAGCTGCAGTCACTCCCTATCCGCGGGCTGGGGTACCGGTGGTCACTGGATCTGGCAGGAGAACTGCCGCTGAGCCGCAAGAACAAGCGATACGTGCTCGTCATGATCGAGCACGTCTCCAAGTGGGTGGAGGTGCGAGCGCTCAGCAGCAAGAGCTCCGAGTTGATCGCCGAGGCGTTTACCGATCAGGTGCTGACGCGTTTCGGAGCATGTGGAGAAGTGCTCACGGACCAGGGAACATAATTCAGGGGAGCGTTCGATCAGCTGTTAAAGCGAGTGGGGATCACGCACCGCCGAACCTCGAGGTATCACCCGCAGGCGGACGGGCTGACCGAGCGCATGGTGCAGACAATCAAGAAGGGGCTGCGGGCCTACGGGGAAGAGCACAAGAGAGATTGGGACCAGGAGCTGCACTGGGTCGCGGCAGGATACAGGTTCAGCAAGCAGGCGGCGCTCAGGGACTACTCGCCGTACTACCTCCTGTACGGGAAGGAGCCCATGCTGCCTGTGAAAGCCCCAAAGGTGCTGACTGGAATCGTGAGGGCTGGAAGCCCTGAGAAGTGGGCAGCACTGGCGGACTGCCGAGCGAGGTACTTGAAGAAGATCATGCCAGCAGCGCTCGAGAATCTGCACACGGCACAGCTGCGGGACGCGAAGAGGTATCAGCAGAGGTTGCTGCAGACCGGGAAGGGAACCAGCAAGGCAGTGGAAAGCGGCACAGAAGTATACATCCGGAAGGCCAAGAAGGACACTCTGGATGTGGGCCTCTCGGCTGAGCGATGGGTCGTAAAGGAGGTGAAGCCGTCGGGGGTGCTGGTGCTCGAGTCAGAGGAGGGCAAGCAGCGGGATGATCACGTGACCAACGTGGCACGAGCGACAGGGAGTAAGATGCAAGGAGTTCCTAAGGACCAGCAGAAGGAGCCGAGCAGGTCACGGAAGGGGGCAAGTGGGTAAACCAGCTGGGAGAGTATGAACCTGAGCAGAGAATCATGAGAGAGAGAGCAAGGAAGGGCAGCATGTGAGGACGACAGAGTGAGCGGGAGAACAAGCAGACATATTCTCGGAAGAAAAGGGGGGGAAGAGAGCAGGGGCCTATGGCATCCGACAGCTGTCGCACGAAACAAGAAAGTAAATGTGTTTCTGTTCCGAACGACGTGAGGTGTAGAAGAATGAGAGAAGATGGGCTTTATCGGTGCAGCGGGTAACAAGGTTGCAAGGGGCATTCACTATGACAGCTGGGACCGGACAGCTGGAGTAGTACCGAGCAAGTGCAGGAGAAATGCAGACGCCTCGCGCGTACAGTGATGGCAGCGAGGCTGGAGTTTCACGTGAACCGAAGTGACTGAGGGTGGAGGTAACAAGAGGCGTGGTGAGAAAGGAGGCACGGACGGCGTGGATCTTGCTTGCACATAGGTGGGCTGTTTGAGCGGTTGTGATGAACGGAATGTCGGATGGTGTGCTGCTGTGTGCGTTTGATGTTGGCGTGTGTGTGCAGGTTCTCCCCTGGCCCCACGCCCTCTGCAAGAAGTCAGCGGCTAGCCAAGATTTGCACTGTACATAGGTAGCTAGCTTGCTCTAGACTCCTTGCTTGTTTGTTTGTTTTCTCGTATAGTGGAGTGAGTTTGTGCTATCTTCCTAGCAGAAGCCAGCCGTGTGAGAGAAACCGGTCGTTAGATCAGTGGATTTTTCGAAGTGGGTAAACCAGCTGGGAGAGTATGAACTTGAGCAGAGAATCATGAGAGAGAGAGCAAGGAAGGGCAGCATGTGAGGACGACAGAGTGAGCGGGAGAACAAGCAGACATATTCTCAGAAAAAAAGGGGGGGAAGAGAGCAGGGGCCTATGGCATCCGACAACTGTATTGTTTGATTCGATAGTGCAATTCTCGCTCGCTCGCTCAATTGCACTCGTAACAATACTATGCTCGTTTTTTTGTTGGCTTCAGTGTAATCTTGGCAAAATGCAGACTTGGGAATCGAAATTACCTTGGTGCAAATTAATAACGAACATGGGGGTTTGATTTTCTTGATTTATTTTCTTCGAAATACGTAGAGATCTACGAATCTGAGCAGCATCTCAACTATCCAATGGCCATGTTCTTGTAGCATGCATTGTGGAATATTGTTTGTTAAGTGGATAACGACTTATCGAGGTTCGTTAACAAGCGGACCGATCCCGACGCTAGATGCATTAATTTGAACGCAAGTGTATGCAAAATATCATATTTCTTTGCGCACAACTTGAACCCAATCTTGGTTCCAGCACTATGCTGCCTCTTTTAGGGATGGAGAACACAATTTTGCGAAATCAATGTGGCCACTCTATGGCACATAAGCATCCGTACAGGTTATGCAGGGTTGCATCAGGACCGAAATGTGGTTGTGTTGGTTTTTTCGAAGTTGTCTTAAAACAAAAGCTGTCCATCGTGGCAACGTCCAAGCATGAACCCCGAGTTGATGCGGACGGAAGGTACTACTGCGGAAAGTAACTCTACAACGGAAGCTGGACTACGGGGGAGGGTAACGGGTTGTTCGGGGTGATTAGAGCGTTGCATGCGTTCGCACTAGAAAAAATTGGAAGAAAAAAGTAGCACGCAGTGGCAAGGCAGGGTCGAACAATGCAATTGTCCTAGCAACCTAGCAAGTCGGCTTCCAATGCAGCACGAAGGCGGCTTGCCAACGTTGCAGCAAGGGGGCCTGCCTGCGTTTCAACCTCATTTGACCATCTGCACACATGTGCGCACTTACCAAAGTAGGTGTATGTCTGCACAACAGACAGTTGCGTGCACGTTGTGCACATGATGCACATTGCGTAGGTGCCAGGTTGTCGAGCACGTGATGCTCAACCCGCAAGTCAACATTTGCCACAAACTGGGGCGAAGTTTGCGCCTCCCGCAGAACTTCCGACGATCACATCCGTCGCTCGCCGAAGCCCGACGGCGTCCGCCGACTTCAATTCGTCGGCCAACATCTTGTCAGCTTCGTCGTGGTCGGCTCCGCTGAAGTTGGTTTCGTCTACGAAGCCTGGCCGGCTGCAGACCTTGCATGCTGGTTAACGAAGTCGGCTTCGTCCAAGCGAGGACGGGGGCTTTTCTCGTCAACAACTAGAAAGGATAACCTTGGTTAGATTGATGCGGTGGAATAAACACCACACTGTATTCGGAATTTGAAATGTCGTTTAGCGAGCCCGGTAGCGTTATCGGCCGTCACAATCGAGTTGTTTTGGGCAGGGCATAGGAAAAATAAATCCCCAGGGGAACCTGGACGCATTTCCGAGAGGGATCAACCCAGAATACGGGAATCTGCCTGGAGTTTAGGGTTGATTCCTCCCTGCCCCTGCCCTAACTCAATTTTCCTTATGTATACCCCAAGAATAGGGCCAACATCTAAGGGTTTGTTACACATATCATAAATAGATGGAGGTACGGGCGACTCGCTAGGGAAAGGAAAGCATGGCAACAGAAGAAAATGGAACCTTGAAAAGACGTTGTTTCAACAATTTCCCCGTGCGTAACCGAACAATAAAATGGTTCTCAGCCGCCACGATGAAAGGCAGACCGCGTCGCGGGGACGAATAATCGCAAGGGGTTGGGGACGGAGAATCCATGTGCGCCACGGAAAACGGGAGAGCCAGAAGCTCCATGATTCACCTGTCGTACACCTGCTCCTCGCGGCCAGCTCCGCCGCTCGCCACTTGGGGGTGGCGAGCAGCGTGAACGACGCCGCAGGATCCGGGCATCTCCCGCACCGAGTGGTCTGGAGCCGCGCAACACTACTTGGTTGGTATCTGAGCGGTTACTATTAGTGACTGACAGGAATCAACCGCTGCAATGCGCGCCGCTGCCAGCGGTGCGTCCTTCTGCCGCCCGAATTGCCACCCGCTTTTCCCCCAGCAGTCCGCTTCGCCTCCGCTCTCTTGCGCCTTTTCCGCCGGAGTCGCGGCGGCGGCTTGCAGCCGCGCCTCCTTCCCGTCTGTTAGCTTCGCTCGCAGCAGCTGCAGCTGCCGCTGTCGCGCCGCTCTTGGCGCGGCGAGGCGATCGCGCCTGCACGCGGGAAGGTGCGCCGCTGATGCGCGGGGGGACGCGAATTCAAAATTTCCGGTCCGCGCGCGCGCGGGGGAGAGGACAGGTTTCTGGGAGCGGCGGGAAGGTGACGGCGGAAGCACGCTTTCGGGGGGGAACCAGCGGAACCATTGGCGCGGGGAGACAGGGGAAAGGCGGAAGGCGGTGGCGGGGTGCGGAGGGGAAAGTGAGGGGCGGCGGGGTGAAGGAGGGTGCGCTGTAATGGCTGAGAGTGGCGGGAGAAGTGGGCAGGTTGTGGGAGTTAAGGGAGGGGATAGGGCAGAGGAGGCAGAGAGGGTTATGGCGGACGAAGAGGAAGAGGAGGAAGAGGAGGGAGTTGCTACGGTGATCATTGGTGCTGGTCGGATAGGCCAGGCTTTCATGCAAATGGCTCCACCTAATAGGTCAGTCAGTCAGGCTTTCACAAGAAATGACGGTCTTCTGGCGTTTTGTTTTTCTCGGATTCAAAAAGATACCCCACTGTTCTTCTCTTTTGTTTTATTGTTTGGCCATCTCCCTCCTGTCCGCATCATCTACCTTCCCCCGCACCATGACATTTAAAACCCGGGTCTCATATTTACAACGGTATTACACTTGGTTGGGCAAAAGCGCCTGTGATTGGGTAACGAGAGGCGAGTTTAGTGACGAGCAGTTTCGAAAAATCAGGCGAAACCACAGTTGGGCGAGGCAAAAGCCCAACGTATCACTCTTGGTTGGGTTGGCAAAAATACTAGACCCGGGTTTTAAGTCGACTCAAAAGTCATCCCTTAACCCACACCATCCAGCGGCACCCTTTCTCCCATCTTCCTCTCCCCCCTCCCTCCCTCCCTTCCCCCTACCCCGCTCTCCCTCTACCTTCCACTCCCCCTCCCTCTCTTTGTCTCCCTCCTGCTCTTTCTCCCCCCTTCAGCGCTCTGTTTCTGCCACGTGGCATGCCGCTTTCATCCCTGGTCCAGCTGTCGCCGCGCCATTCGCAGGGGCCAATTGTGGTGGCGACGCACAATTGCCACCTGGACGATGTGCTGGCGCAGGTACTGTCACTTGTGTGGGTCATGGGGCTATAGGGTTCAGAGGCAGGGGATTTCAAAGGGCATGGGTTTCAAGGGAATTGGTTTCAGGAGTAGGGGCGTGCGGCGAGGTACGGTTCACAGGGGTGGGGTGTGGGTCGTGTCCACGTGCTCTTTCATGTTAGCTGTATGAGCCGGTGCCCACACACCTTGGACCGGCGTACACATGTGCAGGCCTGTTTTCCCTTATTTTCCCTGCAGGCCTGTTCTGCATGCCACACCGACCTGGTGCTGGCGCAAAACGGCTTGCTGGACGGCTTTAGGGGCGCCTGAACAATCTCTCCTACCCTTTCCCCCCCCGCAGGTCTCCCCTGCGCGCCACTGCGACCTGGTGCTGGTGCAGAACTGCATGCTGGACGGTCTTTTGGGCGCCTCAGGAATCCCTCCTTTTTCCCTCCCTCTTCCCTCCTCCCCCCCCCCCCTCCCCCCACCCCCACCCCCCCCCTCCCCCCGGCAGGTCCCCCCCGCGCGGCACAGCGACCTGGTGCTGGTGCAGAACGGCATGCTGGACGGCTGGCTGGCAGAGCACGGCCTCTCTCACTCTGTCACACGCGTGCTGCTCTACATGGCCGCCTCTGGCTCTCAAGGGGGCGCTTCTGGGGAAGGCTCTTCTGGGGAAGGCGCTTCTGGGGAAGGCGCTTCTGCGAGGGACGCGTCTGTGAGGGGGCCTACTGGGACTGCTTGGGGAGGCGCTGCTGGGAGTGAGGGAGGGAAGGAAGGGGAGGAAGGGGCAGCGCATGCGAGGTGCCAGTCCCAGCAGCACAAGAACAAGGAGACGGAGGGAGCAGTGTGGGAGGCGCCAACCCAGCCCCAGCTGCCTGTGTGCTTCACGTCGTCCCCTCGTTACCCCCACGGCGTGCGTATCACGGATGGTGGGGGGCGATCCGTTGCCACCGGCAGGTGAGCTGTGCCGCTGCTGCTGCTGCTGCTGGAGTTGCACCGTGTGCGGGCAGGATGTGGTAGGTGGGTGGGTGGGCGGGTGGGTGGGTGGTTGATGGCATGATGCTGTCATGCAGTGATGCTACAGTGGTAGTGCAGCCAGCAATGGGCTGAGCCGGGAACTTCTGCGCGGCGCAGGAGTCTCAAACTGGAAAGAGCGTCAGATCCTCAAATGTTGTCCCACGCCACTCCACGCCTCGTGAGGCCATGGCACCTTGTGCCGACTGCCTGCCTGTGCGCATGTGGCATGTGTGATGGCATGCCGGTGGGAGCGCGGCTGAGTCGAGTCAGGAATCACCTGTGCCTGCCTGCCACTCCCTGCCATTGCCCCTTTCTGCTGCTTGCAATCACTACCCCTATTATCCTACTGTCGATCTCTCAACCGCTGTTCTTTCCACCCTCCGCTTCCCACTCCCCCTTCCCCCACCACCTCTCATCAACCTCTCCCAACTTCACTCCACTCTGCGCCCCTCCCCCCCGTCCCCCACAGGTGAACCCCACTCATAGCGCATCTCTTTTGAGGCGCCTCCAAAAAATTTTTTGAGTCGACTCAAAAGCGTCCCCCACAGGTGAACCCCACTCATAGTGCATCTCCTTTGAGGCGCCTCCAAAACTCCCCCAGAAACTCTCCCCAAACCCTTCCCAATCCTTTCCCCCCCATCCTCACAGGTGGGCGCCACTCATAGCGCGTCTCCTCTCCGCCTCAGAAGTCCCCTGCACACCTGTACCCGCCAGCACCTTCCGGGAACTAGCCGGGGAGAAGCTGCTCTGGAGCTGCATCTTCTGGCTGCTCTGTGCCGCCAGGGGCGGGGCTCCACTTGGGGAGGTGGTATCTGCGGACAGGGGTACCATGAGGGCGCTGGCGGGGGAGCTGTGGCCGCTGCTGGTGGCGTTCTGGCAGGAGGGGGGGAGTGAGAGCGGGGGAAGGAAGGGCGAGGGGATTGTGGGAGGTGCGAGAGAGGCAGGAGAGGAAACGAGGGAGGCCACGGGGAGCAGGGAGAAAGGGGAGAGGGATGAGGGGAAGGGAGAGGAGGAGAGAGATGAGGAGGGAGAGTACGAGGTGATGTGTGAACGGCTGTGTGCCTACTCCATGGCTATCCCCGCAGTGGTGCCCAGCATGCCCATGGCTCTGGCCGAGTTCCCCTGGCGCAATGGCTGGTTCCTGCGCTCCCGCCCCACGCCCATGCACACCCGCCTGCTCGCCTCGCTGCTGCCCTTGTATCCTCAAGCCCGTGATGTCATTCTCCCATACCTCCCAGCTGAAGAGGCAAGCACGTGAGTTTAGAGATCAAAAGAGAAGACTCTTCAAAGGCCCACACACACCCGCCTGCTCTCTGAACTGCTGCCCTTGTACCCTCAAGCCCGCGATGTCATGCAGCCGTACCTCCCAGCTGGAGAATCAAGCACGTGGGTTGGGACACGAAAAAATACTGTTCAGAAGCCCACGTCTGCTGGCCTTGCTGCAGCCACGAACAAGGGCACACGTTCCTTCCCACACGCGCGCCCGTGACGTCTTTCTTCCGTACGTACGAGCCGGCGAGGCAAGCCGGTGACATCAGAGACGTTTCAAAAGCAGGTGATTTTCAACACAAGAGAGGACTTTACAAGGGTTGATGCACGCCCGCCTGTTCGCCTCGTTGCTGCCCTTGTGCGTGCATGCCCGTGAGGTCACTCACTCTGCTGTGGCTTTCCAGGCAGCCAGGCCAGCAGGTGTGTCCAGCGGATGGGGAGAGGAGGTGCATGGGAGGGAGGAGGACGGCTGTACGAGGGAGGGATTTGTGTTGCAGCTAGAGATGAAGTTGGGGAGAATGTAGGCTGGGGTGGGCATGGGGGAAACGAGATGAGGGTGGGAGATGGGGTTATGCATGGCAGGGGGTGCATGGCAGGGGGTGCATGGCAGGGGGTGCATGGCAGGGGGTGCATGGCAGGTGGTGCATGGCAGGGGGTGCATGGCAGGGGGTGCATGGCAGGTGGTGCATGGCAGGGGGTGCATGGCAGGTGGTGCATGGCAGGGGGTGCATGGCAGGTGGTGCATGGCAGGTGGTGCATGGCAGGTGGTGCATGGCAGGTGGTGCCATCGAAGGTGTAACGCGTGATTCCCGCGTCATGCTTCCTGGCAGCAGCATCACTGAGACAGACAGTCAGTTGCTTGCTTGCTGCGTGATCATACATGCGCTGAAGCAGAAACACAACAGATGCATGCAGGCATGCGTGCGTGGTCCACTCATCATTTTACTGCTTGTTGCTAGACAAGATGTAAGCCTGCAATAGGGGAGGAGTCGGGAAGAGAGAGGATGAGAGGGGAGGGGAGGAGAGCAGTTCAGGCCGTACGGTACACGGCGGCTTGCTTTGCTAGTGAATATGTAAGCCTGCAATTGCTAAGTCGCTTTACCAATGAAATGGCCAGCTTTTCAGTAAGAAGTAAAAAAAAAATGTTATCGAATCCATCATGGCGCAGTTGCGAAATATGTAGAATGGAACAGACCCCTCAGTATAATCAAGCTTAGAAAGACATAGAGCAACTTTGGGATGCCTTGGATGCTTTTGGAACAACGAAAACGTATTTGCCAAGAACTCCTTTGCTTACTCGGTATTACGAGACAACTCAATACAGGTGATAGGTGGCTGCACTGAAGAGATAGAGCAGACGGACATGAGCTTTTCCGCAATTGACACGTGGCAAACTTTCTCGTCCAAGCCGCGTCTTGCCGGTCATGCGGGGCTCTCCTCCCCGTCCACCCTCGCATGCTCACGAGACTCGCGGCGCCACACTATGCAGTCGCCGCAGCTCGCGTCGCTCGTCCAGCAACCGTCGCATCGCAAGACTCGCAACCCTCCTCGCCGCAAGCCTCGCTGGTATGGTCCGAGATGTGTCGTTCGTTCGATCGCTCGATCGCTCGATCGCTCGATTGATGGGAGACATTTTCGCAGAGTATCCTCCTACTTGTTGACACATCCTCGCAGTCTCTCCCTGCTTTCACGGACGCAGCGTCGCAGCGATTTTTAGACCACGCGTGTAGTAATAGCCACTCCGGCTAATTACATCCTCATGGCCTTTGGACTAGCCCGAGGTATTTTAGGAGGCGCTTGTCACACCGCTACTGCCGCAACCTCCGCTACTGCCGCTACTGTGGCTACTGGCACCGCTGGCACATTCTCCGCTGCTCTCTTCACCGGACTGCACTCCGGAGTTGCGAGGACGAATCGTGGCGTGACTCGCGCCTGGGCTGCTGCCTTGCAGGGGCGTGTGAGAGACCGAGGAGGAGCCTACCACTACCCTGTGAGTTGTGCTTAGGGTTTCCTCCTGCTTAACCACCAGTGGCCTCCGAGTTGGCTCTTTCACCAAGTGTCTTTCCTCGCTCCCTTCGCTCTCTTTGCTATCCCCTGAGTCGCACCCTCTAGTGGCTTTTCTTTCCACAGACATTCAGTGACTGAAGCAGTAACAAGGGGAGGAACACCCATGCACCGAAGCCTGCGCGTGTTTCACGCAGCTGCACCGCGGTACTTGTAATTGCAGGTCCGAACCATGGCTAGCCTTCAAGGAGCCTTCCGCGAAGCAGCCTCCGAAGGGCAGCACAAGAAGCCTGAGAAGCATGACGTCAGCGAGAGCGGCGAGAGCGGCGATGCCGCCTGGCAGGCTCAAACGGAGCAGATGAGCGGGGGCGGGGGAGGAGAAGAAAAAGCGCACGCGGAGGGGTCGGAGGCGGTGCGCGCGGAACAGGCAGAGGCGTACGAGAAGGACATGGATGACTACGGGTCGGCATACGCGACGCGGTCGTCGGACGAGGGATTCGGGCAGATCTACGGGGAACCCGTGACGCACTTCGGCGTGCGTGGCAGGTAAGCTTGCGCTCTCCGCGAAAATCGGCGCCTCGTGCAGTCTATCGTCGCAGTGCTCTTGAGAGCGTGTGTGCGCGCGTAAGCTCGAAACTGACTTACCTCTTCCGTATGTCCTGCGTGCGCGTGCGCGTGCGCGTGTACTTGTGCTGTGTTTGCGTGTTTTGCTCCTTCTATGCTGCGCGTGCGCGTGTATCAGAGTGGGCAACGCACCAGCAGCGTGGACGAAGGAGGAATCGAAGCTGGAACACACGGGGGAACCAGCAGGTCGAGAGGAGTACGACAGGAGCCAGGGCGCGCCGGTGGGGCAGACGGAGGAGGGGCGGCACGCCGTTCGTGAGAAAGCCATGACGCAGGAAGCGGAGGGAGGTGCTCAGGGGTACAAGAGTTGAAGATGTGGTTTAGTGCGGTTGGAGTGGGAGTTGTCATTTGAACAGGCTGGTGATGAGAATTCCAGGTTGTTGTACCAGGTTTCAGGGTGTAGCTGTTACATAGGTTTATGTGTACATCTTGTACATAATCAATACCGTACAACATGCCTTCACGAGCTGGGTAACATGGAAAAACTCATTCACACACTTCTTCTCCTCCTTGCTCAGTTATAAGCTCCTTTGTCCTTACTCTCACAGCAGCAGCTGACTCCAAGTTTGGTGTGAGTAGGAGTGAATTTCGCCTAATGACATGAACATTGTACATTGCATACTTATCCTACTGTATTTTGCCAATTCCACTTGCCCTGCGTTAAACGCGAAAACAATTTTCAACCTAAGAGTACAAATCAAGGTGAAATCTAAACTACCTGCCACTCAGAAACAATCTTAGCCAGCCACGTCTCAGATTAGCCAGCCCATTGCCACTCAAATTGGGGCACGGCAACTCACCTCACAATGACAGGAAATGACCCATCCACAAGCCCCCTATAACGCCTCCCCCCCTGGCGTAACAGCGGCAACCCCAAGCAGAACAAGTAAAGCCATCCATGAACCACACACAAAAAAAACCATCTTGCAGGCACACATCACAATCACGGCACCTCACCACCCACTCCTCACCACCACTCCTCTCCTCAACACCCACCACTCCTCACCACTCCAACTTCACCACCCTCTCTTCACCCTCCTCTCTCCACCACCCCCTCCTCCTCACCACCCCCACGACCCAGGCCCGCCCTTGAACGGCCCCACAATATCCTTAGTCACCCATCCGCCATAGAACACCCCTGGCTGTGGTTCTGCGATCTCGCCTCCCACACGGCAGGCATCCATGGGCGCACAGTAGAAGGCCAGGTGCGATGCTATGGGCTGGAAGAGGGGCGTGGGGCGCTCGTAGCTCCATGCACAGCGCGGCAGGTGCTTGGATGCCTGTGGTGCGTCACGGGGATGGTGGGAGGGTGCATAGGAGGTGGGAGGCGGGGAGGAGAGAGTGGAACGTGGGGGGGAGGAGAGGGGACGGGGAAGCAGAGAGGGGAGGAGGGATGCGGAGGAGCAGGGTGGGGGGAATGGACAGACAGTACTTGTTAACAGTGTGGGTGTGACGCTATGGGGTGGAACTTGGAAGGCAGGCATGGGGCGCTCGTAGCTCCATACACAACTCCACAAATGCTTGCACGCCTGTGGTTCGTCATGGGGATAGTGGAGGGGAGGGGAGGAGGGAAAGAGAGTGGAAGGGGAGGGGAGAGTGGAGGGGGGAAGGGAGAGGGGATTGGGGGTGCGGGGAACAGGGTGGGAGGGATGGACAGACAGAGTTCGTTGGCGAAGGTGGTCCAAACCAAACAGAGGAACAATAGATACAGTGCGAACGCACAAGGCGCATGCATGAAACACACTGGAGACCGACCCACAGGACAGCCCAGCTTTGTTAACCTGACACTGGAGCCCTGCAACCCCCATCCCTGCAACCCTCATCCTCACAACCCGAGGTGGGTGGGCAAGGCAGTGCGGTGACCTGGGGAATGGTGACGGTCCAGTACGTGGCTGGGCCCTTCCACTCGTCGCTTAACGCGCCTAAAAAAATCCACTCGTCATTTGAGGCGCCTCAAAAGGTGGGTAGGGGTGTTAAGGGCAGCGCAGCGGCCTGACCTGGGGAATGGTGACGGTCCAGTATGTGGCTGGGCCCTTCCACTCGCAGAAGGACGACGCTGCCTCCTCCCTCTGCACGTACTGCATCTGAATGTCCTCCTGGTGATGGGGAAGCACCAGGCGCGGAGAAGCACAGGAGAGGGGAAGGGGGCAAGGACGCCGGGAAGCAAGGCGGAGGGGAGATGAGCGGAAGTGAGATGAGGAGGTAGGGATGGCTCGTGTGACCTGGGGGATGTAGACCTGCGCAGGAGGCGGGCAGGAGGAAGGAGAGTCTAGCTGATCAATGAATGCAATGCAATAGAGTCTGACCAACGGGATGTAGTACACAGGGGGATGGCACGTCTCCAGCACGCGCCACGCGTTCTCACTGTCTAAAGACGTCTCAGCACTAACCTGAGGGATGTAGTAGACGGGTGGGTGGCTCGTCTCCAGCACGCGCCACGCGTTCTCACTGTCCGCCAGCATCACGCCGCCCACCTCCACCTGCACGCGCTTCCCCACGCGCTCCACGCGCGGCGGGCGCGGGTAGTCCCACACCGACTCCTGCCCCGGCCCCGGGGGAACGCGCTGGCGGTACCCCGGGTGGTTGGCATTCGGATTCATTGCCGCGGACAGGCGGAGTGAACGAGACGCGGAGGAGGAGGATGCGTAGGGAGGAAAGTGACGGAGTTGTGTGGGGATGGAGGAGAAGGAGGAGGAGGAGGAGGCGAGGGGAAGGGGAGGGTGCGCGAGAGGACAGCGGGTAGTGTGGGGAATAGTAGGGGGGAGGGCGGAGGTAAGGAGGGGCAGCAGCAGCAGCGGCGGCGGACGGGCGCAGCAGGTGGCGGCGGCGACCATTGCTTTGTCGCGCACGAGAACTCTTAGTGTGCTCACGAAGACGAAGACGAGGACGAGGATGCGGATAGGGCTGCCGGTGCGCTCGTGCCTTGACGCTGCTGCTCGCGTCGCTATAGCGCCGCGAGTTTCCTCTCCTTTTCCTTCTCCGCCTCCTCCCGCTCTTTTGCAACGAGAATCCCGGCTGTTACCTTCTAGGACTGCGCCTGACGCTGCTCCGCTTGCTCTGCCCACGACTAAGTGCGGGAGCAAATTCGGGCATGCGACAGATCGGGGGAGCGACGACGATACAGGAGGGACGGATGAGAGAGAGGAGGAGGGAGGAGGGAGGAGAGAGGGAGGGAGGGAGGGCAAAACGGCAGGGTGAGAGTACGGAGGTCGACTAGAAAGCCGGCAAAAATACCCTCGAGATTCGACAGAGGGCAGAGGAGCACGAGGGCAGTGTATGTCTGAAATGAATCCACACACAAGTTGAAACAAATGATATGCCTGATTATAATTACCTCGCCGACTGAGCCTGCCGAAAGTAGAGTGGGCAACGCGAGGCGCGTTATGTGATGTGGTGTCAGGATGAAAAAATGGGGAGAATTCTTGAGGCCAGGAAATTGAAGGATTGGGAAAGGTGAGTGAGTGACAGGGAACAGAAAGGATGCATTCCGAGTCAAGGGCGAAAATGGGGATTCTTCTTTGCGAATTCTGACGACTGGAATTCAACCTGGTTTCTGGGTACGGGCTCTTCGCACGAGTATATGCGACGCTTTTTCCTGCACAGTGACGACGTGGCGGTTGGAAGACAGCGAGTGCGTCGTCCACCCCAATAGCGAAGAAAAGCGAACTTTACAAAGTAAAAACGTTACGGCGGTTACACGCTACACCCCAATGTGTGAAATCAAAACTCCGAACTTCTGTATCTCCGTCCACCATTTTCTTCTCTTTTGATTAGTGTCCTGAAACTTCTCCGCCATGTCTCGTTTCCCCGTCCGCACGTGCCTCCCCTTCGTCCTCTCTTCCGCAGCGCGCATCCTTGCGCCCATCGCGCGCGCAGCGGAGCGGCAGCTGGACGCGGTACTAGCGGACGTGCTGCTGCCGGGGCCGCTCGGCATCGTCGTGCACCGCTTCTCGCGCGACGAGCGCGCCGTCGCTTCCGCCGACCTCGCCAAAGCGGAGGCTGCGGCTGCATCTGCGGATGCGCGCGCGACAGCAGATCGATGGCCGCGGCATGCGCGGTAATTTTCTTCCCGTGCGATCACCGCTCGCCACCACTATTCGCGCTGCGTCGATCATGAAGAAGCCATGGCCGCACAAGAGCATTGAAGCGGTCGTTGTGGAGCTGTTGGCTGACGACGAGCCAGCGGCACGACGGCGGGCGACAGATGGAGTCTTTCTGAAGCGATACTTGAAGGCGCTGCAGCGTTGGAGGGCTCTGGAGGATTCCGCCAGCTGTTGTAGGGCCAAGCAGTCCCGGGCGGCAAAGCTAGGGCTAGTAATGGCCGATGGTTATGGGCGATGGGCGATGGATAGTGACGGATGGCGCTGGAACCTGCCGTCTGCCATCCTAGGAGCATACCCCTCTTCGCATCCTGCAGCAACTTTCCTGGCTGGTGTTTCTGCTTGTTGTAGGTGTAAAACTTTCTTCACTGCCTAGACCCTTCCTACGGTAGCAGCAATTTGAAGCTTCCAGGAACTGGAGGTCTTCCAGGAGCTGGGAGGTCTTCCTAGACCCTCTCACAGCCTGTTTTCGCTAGGTTGGTAATCCTTGCATGCCCCTACCAATAATGGGGTCTGTCTGACTGATCAATATATTGAAAGTGAAGAGTTACACCAACGCCAGTGTACGTAGGTAGCATAATGCACAAAGGTAGAAATGAATCACTCGAGCGTCCAGCTTCCACGGATTTGGCTGGCTTATTGGGCGGTGAAGATCATCAATAACCGCAGGCTGTTAGGCTGCCTACTTCTGCCACCAACAGCAGCAACTGCTGCTGATTCCTGAACCACGCATAGCCTGTAGCACAGCTTTCACACATGCGTGTATTTATTCCCACTGTCTTACCAGTCAAGGCCTCAGGAATTACGTCAATATGCCCATTCAACAGGGAGTGCATTCACCGCCACACCACCATTGGGCCTCCACACACGCTCTCCCCCACCTCCACCTGGTGCTTCCACTGACCCAATCAACCCATGCCCCTCGTCGTAGGCACGTCTCGCTTTATTAGCACCAGCATGCAGAGTCCCATCAGTAACAGCAGCAACACCACCGTCGCCAGCAGCTGCTGGAGCGGCAGCAGCGGCGGCAGCAGCAGCAGGGCTAGGGCGGGTCACGAGCACGTTGTTGTGTGCGTCAGCGTGCAGTCCGAACATGTGCACCAGCCGCGCAGGCAGGTACATGGCCGCGCCGCCCTGCCCCGCCCCGCATATCAGGTTCGCGGGTGCCATCGCGAAGTGCGCCGCCGGGTATTGATTCTGTAAACCTGCGGCTCGAGGGTGAAATACGCCAGTCCCGTGCGCTGCCCCGTGCGCGGCCCCGTGCGCTGCTCCATTCGCCGCTCCCGGACGCGCCGCCTCGTGCCCAATGCCGTGCCCCATCCCCCGGCCGTGTATAGAAGGGGAAGAAAAGGGACCGGAGGCGCAAAGAGGTACCTCTAATCCAGGATTGGTCGGACAGCATGGCTCTGGTAACGGCGAATATTCCGCGCCTGCCCGGAGGTCGACGCAATGACCAGCCAATGGAAACGGGGCTGGACTGCCGTCTGATGGCGTGAGAAAATGCCAGTGCGCGTACTGCGGCACTTGTTGCTGCGGCGCCGGCGCCGTTGTTCTCGCAACTGCTGGCATCGTTGTGAAGGCAGCAGGAGGCAGAAGCAGGGGCGGTGGTGGCGGCGGCGGCGCGATGACATGCGGAGCTGCGACTGCTGGGAGTGGGGGCGACGTAAACACTTGCAACGGGCGCGGAAGAGGACACGTCGCATTCGCCACGGGCGCCAGTGCCGGAGGGCCGAGAATGGGCGGCGCACGTGCCGAGGGACGAATTGGGCCGAATGAGCGAGTGGAGGGTGGAATCAAGGCGGGACCTGGATTGCACCCAGCGGAACACGCGGAGTCGCCGACTGTTTGACACAGGCGACAATGACACGTTGGGGGCGAGACGGAACGAGAAGAGCTCCCGCTGCTGCACCCGCTGTTGCTCCCGCTGCTGCACCCGCTGTTGCTCCCGCTGAAGCTGCCCTCCTCTGGCGAATGCATCACTTCCCATTGAATCATCCGAAGCGGCGGTAACGGGGACGGTGGGCGGTCGAGGTCTCCGGGGAAGGGGAATACAGAGCACTCAATGCGGCCCAGCATGTCGAAATCTGACGGATGGAGTTCGTCGCCGCGGTCATCTGCGATGCACGAGCGCGCGACCCATTCAGGTATGGAATATGCAGATGTTGCGTTCGGATGGCCTCGAGGGTCTCGTTCACTTTGCCATTTCGTCATGGGGGGTCTTGAAAGTGCTGTCACCCGCGATGGTACGAGCTGGCATGATGCAATATGGGATGGAGGAGAAGCGGGGCAACTCGACGGGAACGGGAAGTCGGAGCCATGCGCGCGTGCATGAAGTACGAGTTCGCTCGATGGGGGAGTATTCCAAAAGTCTGAAGGAGTATCCATAGCAGTTGAGGCCAAACGTCAATGCCGGTGTGACCTTTTCATTCACGAAAAGCGGCTTCATGAAAGCAGCTCTCGCTGTGTGATAGACTATCTCGATTGCACAGTCAAGTCATGAAGCTGGGACATCAAAATAGTTGTGCTTGACGAGCTGTTGTTCGCACCGCAATAGATGTTGGGGAGGAATCGGAATGTCCTGATGATCGTTTGGGGATTCTCTTCGAAAAATACCTGATTATTTCCAAGTACATGACGATCACAAAAATTATCGCTTGTCTTTATTTCAAATATGTTATTGCGCTTTCCCATTACAACTTCTACTACTCAGTACATTTACGGGCACCCTTGAAGATGAGTCCGCTCATTTCCAAACACGCCACGCCAACACATGCACACAGTGGGAACAACCCGAGCCGCGGGTTCCCCGCATATGGAATTGGGTGCTCCCTCTCACTGCCGAGGGCTCATTCATTGGCTCCGCACCCGCCCGCAGCCGCCGTGAGCTGCCTCACTTCGGACAACATGCTCACACGAACTGCCATTCGCCATTTCCGAAGTGGGACGGGTTGGCTGCAAGCTGTGGGACCGCGCCTTGCCAGCGAGGCGCTTTTCATTTCAAACGAGGACATCGACATTGTACAGCTGTCTGCATTCGCTTATAAATATTCACTTTTCCCAACAAGAGGACCTTGATCATCAAATGTACCCAATTTCCTGAATGTAGCATAGACCCAGGGTTGTGTTTTTTCATGATGTACGGTTGTGGCTGTCAAATTACAATTGTATCTCTAGGCTACAGTAGGGTCACTCCTTAGTGAGTACAACACTTTAGGGTTAGGTTTCCCCTACTTGTACTCACCTCTTGCCTAGTTCACTCATCCATTCCTGCTTCTTCTAACATGGTATTAGAGCAGATTCGTTCCTAGGGCCCACCGAACGTTCCGCCCTGCCCTAACCGTTTTTTTTTTTTCTTCCTACGCTGCCCTTGCAGCCCGCGTGCTGCCCCTGCGACCGCGCTGCCCTTGCAGCCGTGCTCGCCCCTGCGCCTGCGACCGTGCTGCCCCTGCAGCCGTGCCTGCCCCTGTGGCCCGCGTGCTGCCCCTGCAGCCCGCGCGTTCGCCCCTGCAGCCCGCGCGTTCGCCCCTGCAGCCCGTGGGCGCTGCCTGTGCAGCCCTCGCGCCGCCCTGCCGAGCCGCGCGTCGCCCCTGCAGCCAGTGGGAGCTGCCCCTGCAGCCTGCGCGCTGCCCTGCCAAGCCGCGCGTTGCCCCTGCAGCCCGTGGGCGCTACCCCTGCAGCCCGTACGCCGCCCTGCAGAGCCGCGCGTCGCCCCTGCAGCCCGTGGGCGCTGCCCCTGCAGCCCGCGCGCCGCCCTGTCGAGCCGAGCGTCGCCCCTGCAGCCCGGGCGCCGCCCTGCCGAGCCGCGCGCCGCCCCTACAGCCCGCGCGCCGCCCTGCCGAGCTGCGCGTCGCCTCTACAGCCCGTGGGCGCTGCCCCTGCATCCCGCACGCCGCCCTGCCGAGCCGCGCGTCGCCCCTGCAGCCCGTGGGCCGCGCGCAACCCTAATTCCTAAAAAAAAGAAAATAATAATAATTATTATTATTATACTACTACTGCTGCTGCTACTCGTGCTACTGCTGCTGCTGGTGGAGGTGCTACTGGGAGTGATGGAGGTGCTGCTGGTGCTGGAGGAGCTGGAGGTGCTAGACCTACTCCTGACCGTCGCTGTCTGTCATGGCCACTATCGCGGCAGTTGCTGCGACCAGGGGTGGACAGCAGCGGGCACTGCCTCTTCCGGAGGACCCCACCCCTCAGCAGCTTCGTGAGTGGGTTGTTCAGCGAGCTGGTCCTGGTGGTGGAGGTTTTGGTTATACATGGCCTAAGCGACGTCGCGACTGTGCATCTCAGCGATGCGTCCCTGGCTGTGTAGAGGTTCCTGCTCTCGGTTCTAGTGAGTCTGCTGCTGCTCCAAGTGCTGGTGAGTCTGCTGCAGCTCTAAATGCCCATGAGTCTGCCGACGCTCTAGGTGCTAGTGCGTCTACTGCCACAGGTCCTGCCTCAGCTGAGGTCTTGCACACTTTCACGCTTGACTTAGGCGCGTCACGTTGCTTCTTTCGTGATTGCACCACATTCACACCACTCACAGCACCTGTCCCTGTCTCACTGGCTGACCCCTCTGGGGGCCCAGTGGTTGCGAGAGCCTCCACGGTCCTCCCTTGTCCAGCAGTCCCCTCCGGCTCTCTGTCAGGTGTCCACCTCCCCACGTTCTCGACGAACTTGGTGAGCAACGCTGCCATTCAGGATGTCTAGGTTGATACCTTTATTCCTGGAGGGCAGCGTGTGGCGATCTGTACGTGCTCCCGGACTGGCCGTCACCTGGCTACGTTCACTCGACAGCATGGGTCTAGTCTGTACACACTGACCACTACGTCTGCACAGGTGGCTGAGTCAGGTCAGGTGGCTGCGTCGAGTCGGGCGTCTGCGTCGGGGCAGTTAGCTGCGTCTTGCTCGTGCAGAGTACTCACGCACGAGACTCAGCGCTGGCACCACCGTCTTGGTCACCCCTCCCTGCCGCGTCTACGCAGTATGCACTCCCGTCTCCTTGTCTCTGGCCTCCCTAGGACCCTGCCCCCCCTGCTGCGCTCGCTTGCCCCGCCGTGCCTTCCTTGCGTCGAGGGGCGGCAGCGCGCCGCTCCTCACTCCTCCGAGTTACCTCCAAGCACTGCTCCTCTGCAGACTCTCCACCTGGACGTGTGGGGCCCGGCCCCCGTCGGTGGGACGGACCTGGAGCGCTACTTCCAGCTGGTTGTTGACGACTACACACGCTACACCACAGTCTTCCCCTTGCGTTGCAAGGCGGACGTCAGCGGTGTTTTGATCCCCTGGATCCGTGCTACTCGTCTCCAACTGCACGAGCGCTTTCAGCAGGACTTCCCAGTCCTGCGTCTGCACTCTGACAGGGGTGGTGAGTTCTCCTCTGGCGTCCTTGAGACGTTCTGCCAGGATGAGGGCATCGCCCAGTCGTTCACGCTTCCGGCCTCTCCGCAGCAAAATGGGGTCGCTGAGCGTCGCATTGGCTTGATCATGGAGGTTGCTCGTACCTCCATGATCCATGCGGCTGCTCCCCATTTCCTGTGGCCGTTTGCGGTCCGATACTCCGCGCATCAGCTCAACCTCTGGCCCCGTGTCTCTGCTCCAGAGACCTCGCCCACACTCCGTTGGACGGGACAGCCTGGTGATGCGTCGTCGTTTCGGGTCTGGGGCGCGCTCTCCCTTGTTCGCGATACCAAAGCGAGCAATCTCTCTCCTCGCACTCTCCGCTGTGTCTTCCTGGGCTTCCCCACCGACGCTCCACCCTGGCAGTTCTACCGCCCTGCCTCGCGTCGTGTTCTGTCCTCTCAGGACGTCACCTTCGACAAGTTGGTCTGTTACTACCGACTTCACCCACACGCGTCCCACCCGGTCCCCCTCGCGCCTCTCTTCCTGGTACCAGTCCCCCCCCCGGTAGACCCCCTTCCCCCATAGGGTCCTGCTCCCCGGTGTCTCAGGTAGACCCACCCCCCTTGGATGAGCCAGTGGAGATCTCTTCTGACTCCTCTGACCCAGTTGAGGGGGGTGACACCGCCGCCGACGACACGGCGACCACTCGCCGCACTCCTCGCTTGGAGACCCCCCGGGGTTTCCCGCCTCGGCCGTCTTCGCCACCTCTGCAGCCTGCTGCTGTGGACTCTGGAGCTGAGGCTGCTGGAGCTGGGCCTGGGAGTGGTACGTCTGGGGGTGACTGCTCTCCTTGTTTGGCTACCCCTCCCGGTTTCCCGCCTCTGCAGCCTTCTGCAGTGGACACTGGAGCTGAGACTGAGGGTACTGAGCCTGCGGGTGCTGGGACTGAGGGCACTAAGCCTGCGGGTGCTGGGACTGAGGGTACTGAGCCTGAGGGTACTGAGCCTGGGGGTATTGAGACTTTGGGTGCTGACTCTGGGGGTGCTGGGACTTTGGGTGCTGACTCTGGGGGTGCTGCGAGTCCTTCTGGAGGTCCTGGAGCTGGAGGTACTGGAGCTACTAGGCCTGGAGGTACTACTGGAGGTACTGGAGCTGCTGCTGGTGCTGGAGGTGCTGGAGCTGGAGGTACTAGAGGTGCTTCTGGTCCTGGAGGTGCTAGAGCTACCACTACTGGAGGTAGTGGAGCTGGACAGCCACCGCAGCCTGCTCTACTTGAGACGCTCTCGCCGCAGGCGATTCGTGCGTGGGTCGTTCGACGAGGCAGTCCTGGTGGTGGAGGGTACGGTCCGGCTGGTGCTGGAGCTACTGGTCCAGGAGGTGCTGCTGGTGCTGGAGGTGCTGGAGGTACTACTGGAGGTACTAGAGGTACTGCTGGTGCTAGAGGTGCTGCTGGTGCTGGGGGTACTGGAGCTGCTGCTGGTGCTGGGGGTACTGGAGCTGCTGCTGGTGCTGGAGGTGCTGGAGGTGCTACTACTGGAGGTGCTGCCGGTACTGGAGGTCCTGGAGCTGGAGGTACTGGAGCTGCTGGTGCAGGAGGTACTCCTGTTACTGGAGGTGCTGGGGGTGCAGGAGCTGCTGGCCCCGGAGGTGCTCGTACTGGAGGTGCTGGAGCTGCCGGAGCAGGTGGTGCTGCTGGTGCTGGAGGTGCTGGAGTTGCTACTAGAGCTGCTGGCACAGGAGGTACTGGAGGTACTACTGGTGGTGGAGGCGCTGGAGCTGGAGCTGGAGGCACTGGAGGTGCTGGAGGTACTACTGGTGCTCGAGGTGCTGGCGCTGTCGGAGCTCGTGGTGCTGGAGGTGCTGGTGCTACTGGTGCTGGAGGTGTTGCAGGG